TATTGCTACTAATACTACTTGCAGCGTTTTGGGCAACCGAGAACATGGAAGAGAAGAATCCTGCTGAGCTCGGGGTCTGGACTTCGTTGCCTTCAGGGGTCGGTGAAAGTGGTGCAAGGGTGATGTTGGACAGTTTGCTGGGCCCTATACTCGCAGATCCCGATTTCGTTCTTCGATGCGCGCTTATGGCGTGGGAAGAAGACGTGCTATCCCCATTCGAGGCGGGCTCTGAAATGACAGGCGGCAGCTGCCTCTCTTGGTGCAAGACGAACGGACTTGTTCGCTCGACCGGCGTCGGTGGGGTGTTTACAATGACGGGGCCAAACTGATCGTCGCTTGTCGAAGGCCGAGCAGGCGATGTCGAGATCCTCGCCGGCGGGACGATTGAATGCTTTTCAGGGGATGAAGTCGTCTTGGCCGCGGCAGGCGGTTCGGGGAGTTGGGCTATCTCGCTTAGGCGCTCCTTGGACGCATTGGGAGACGAGCTCCTGGAAGATCCACGGCGGAGGCGCCTAGACAAGAGAGACGGCCGTCGTTCGCTCGTCGGAGGGTCGAAGTCGGTCACTTGTACGACGGGAGACGACGCTGCCAGGTGTCCGGCATGCGACGTGAGGGATGTCGTGGCCGAGCGAGATAGTGGGGGGCGAGAGCTGCTTCTGATTCGGTGTCAGAGCTCGATGCGACGCCTTGAAATGAAGACAAGTGCATGCAGAGAGGGGGCTGAATCGCATACGTGGGCTGAGGCTAAGAAGTGCAGCAAATGCGAATACGAGCCAAACAAGAAGGGGAAAAAAAAAATAGAAAAAAATGCGGTGCGTGCGAGAAGAGAGAGAAAAATGGCAAATGGATCAATGGAGCGAAAGACAACGGCGAAAGACAAAGACCCAAAACTGCGCTGTGTGGCACGTTGAAGGAGCGTGCGCTTGGGCGGTGACGCTCTGGAGGGAAAGACGCAAGGAGGGAGTCCGTATTAAGTGCAGATTGGCAGCATGCAAGGCTACCTTGCGCTGCCGCTGCCTGTCATTCCGCCACTGGCGAGACGACGAGACAGACGTAAAACCGGCATTTTCAATAGCAGGCAATGCAAGAAAGTGCAGACAGACCAAGAGCAAAGCTGGTTACGCAGAATGAATGTCGACTTACCGGTCAGACTCTCCATCGGCGTCGGCACCTCCCGACTCGTAGGACCCAAAGCTGCGATCGTCCACATCGTCGTCGTCGGCGGCGTTGATGGATGCCGCATCGTCAACATCTTCGCGGCCTGATGCGTCCGATTCCAGGCCACCAGTCTTTACTCTTCGCCTGCGCTTGGCCAGAAGCTTGCCCAGTCCTCCGCCACCACCGCCGCCGTTGCTGCTGCTCTCCATTCTCTCTGCAGGCCGCTAATGCTAGCCGAGTGAAACAGTGACACGCGCGGATCGATCAATCAGAGGCCGTGGATCGAAAGGGAAGGGAAAAGAGGATCGCTTTCCTAGAAAGGACGAGGAAAAAGAAAAGAAAAGGTGAGCGGTTCGTTACCAAAGATGAAAGATGAAAGATGAAAGATGAAAGATGAAAGATGAAAAGATGAAAAGATGAAAAGATGAAAAGATGAAAAGATGAAAATGTAAAATGATGAAAGTCTGGAAAGCTATGAGCTGAAGTCCCCGCTTCGCCGTCGACGCTCTTCTCTCTTAACGAGCGTTGTCAATAAGTAGATATCACCGGAAAACTAGGAGAGATGGTTTTTGATTTGCTGGACGTTCGTCGTTGGTTGCGCGACCGCTTCTAGCATGATATTCTTATATAAATAGCATCACCCGCCTCCCGACTCCTGAAATCAACTCCGTGCTGTGCACTAACAGCCCCGTTTGATTCGGCCAAGCGAGGCTGCGCAATTAGCAAGGGCTGTTTGATCGGGGCCGATGGCACGGAGCTCCTCCAGAGATGCGAGAAATGGCCCCTGGCGAAACAGACAAGGGAAGCTTTGTCGAGATTGTGTGACGAGGCACCCCCGGAGGAGGAGAATTGAAGGTGGGGGGGCTCTTTTTTAGTGCGCGGACAGAAGCCAGTTCGTTGACGATGGCGGCTGTGAGTGACGACGATGCGGGAGATGGAATAGGCCGACGCCCCGTATTGAATGCGAGCTGCCGGTGCGTGCTGTGCTTGGGGTAATGATGCTTGGATGTCTACTTCACATGCGTTGTACATGCTGTGTATGTATGTAGATGTCCGCGCAAACTGTTGCAAACAGTTGTAAAGCTGTTTCAATATTCAGCAGAGCTTAAATACCACTGCTACAGTAGCCGATGCAACTCCAGAAGCTCAACCCAGACACTTGCGCCGCTTTGTCCCAAGCGCCAAACCTAGCCAAGCCGCGCAGTACATCCCAAATACCCCCTTCCACCGCCCAATCCCTGCCGCAGCCTGCGGTTCATCCAATGTCCATCGCGTCCGCATGCCGTCATGGAGCGGGACGCTAAAAAGTGCCCGCACAGATTATACACACTTATGCGCACACTTGCGCAACTCATCTCCATCCTCCAAAGACGGCCAAAACTGGCAGTTTCCTACATCGCCAAGCCGACATACTGCACGGCCGCCCTCACTTCTCCCGCAGGGGAGAGAACAGATTTTTGTCAGTATACTCAAACGCGATATTTGCAACCATGGAATCTTCGCCGCTCACAAAGGCGCACGACCACGCGCGTGCCGCCGCTGTCGCTACTCGCCAATCCTCGTCGTCTGATACCACCGTGGCCATCAGCGAGCACACCCTGGCCGCAGGCGAGTTTGCCAATGCCGCAAAGTCGACGTCCAGCGTCGAGGCGCTCAGGACTTTGAAGCTGCTCGAGGAGCATCACCGGAAGCTGGCCGAGATCCTCAAGCTGCCGCCGGAGCAGGTGCCGCACGCCAGAGATGGGGAGCTTTCGGAGAAGGCACAGTCCGAGAAGGACGATGGCGATGCCCTCGGCGTGGACGCTGCGCGAGACTCTCCCCAGGCCGCGGTCGCCAAGGCTGCTCAGCCGCCCGGCCTGGCCCAGCGCCGCTACATGGGCCGAGAAATGTCGTCGTCCATCGCCAGCAACCTCGCTTCCGCCAGAGGCATCCGCTCCAAGGACCGCACCCAGCCGCTCAGCCCCAGCGTGTCCAACGACCAGGCACCTGGTAACGTCGACCCCCAAGCGAAACGCGATGCTTCCAAGGCCAAGATGCAGAACATCATGGACCGCCAGACCGGCCGACCTACTTGGGTTCCGCCTGTAACCACCACGCCCAGGCAGCAAGACGGCGTTGCGGCCAAGGGCAGCGCGTCTCCCAAGGTCGAGCCAAGCTCTCCCGCCAGGGACGACGGTGGCTACACCCGCTTCTACAATACTTTTGGAAGTCTGATCAACAAAATCTCTGCCCCGCTTGCTTTCGCCGGTCTGCCACTCATCCAAGAGGAGCCTGCCACTCCCACTGAATCTGCTGTGCCTCCCCCTACCGTCAACCTGTCCCCTACCAAGCAATCCCGTGCTCGTGCCTCTCCGTCTACCAGTGTCGAACCGGATCTTTCCAAGATTTACTCCAAGGCTACCATGCGAGCTCTCGTTCGAGATGGTCACACTGCTGCTGATTCGTTCTACGTTGTTCCCTCTACCGGTCATACCATGTCTTATGCCAATATTCTGAGCTACGCTGAAAAAGAAAAGCGCCGATTAGAAGCCTCGACCCATGGCGATCTCTTGCCTCACGATGATGATGACGATGACTTTGTGGATGCCCGTGAAGCCCCTGGTTCTATAAATCCAAGACGACGTATTGCCCGTAGCCACTCAGAAAAGGAACTGTACAACACCATTGAGGAACTCAGTCTGGAAAACAAATCGCTAAAGGACATGCTTGACAAACTCTCGAAACGCCTCCACACTTTTGAAGCCAGCGCCCAGAGCTCCGCTCTTGCTCTTGCTGAAAGTTATCGAATTATGCCTGCTGGGTCGCAGCATTCCGCTGGGAGAGTAAATGACGATGAGTTGATACGGAAGAATCACGAACTGGAGGAAGAGATTTCGGCGATGACAAAGCACATGGAACGCCTCGAGAAGGACAACCGCAAGATGCAAAAGACGCTTGAAAAGTACCGTGAGAAGTGGGAGACGTTGAAGGCTGGTGCCAAGGCACGGCGGGGAGCACAAGTGTCGGCTGAAAGTGTGGAAGATGCTCGCTCGTCTCAAGGGTGAAACTGCCCTCTGCTTGTTGATGGTGTATCCCGCCTCTTATTCTTTTTTTTTTTTTATTTCTCGCCGTTTGATCGTGCTAGCACTTACGTTGCACCTTTGCGCGTCATCTTATCTATCTGTGCCTCATAGGTAGGGCAAAGCGTATTGCCAGCGTAGTTTTGCTTTCAAATATACGATGTTGTCTCCCCCCTTACATACTCTTGACATAATGGTGAAGGTATGAATAAAGAAGTGATTGACAGTCGTCATCACCTGCTCGGCACGAAGTGTCCGTAAACGCGACTGAGTAAACTCCAAAATGGCATACGAGAATATATGACTTGCTCTAATACAGCATAACTAAAACAAGGCTCTTACATAACCCCACAACAGACAGCTCAGCTCTTCTACGGCCATTTCGATGCGATCGTATCGACGTTCAACGTAAAACACTACAATAAGTAAAGAAATCACGAATGTTCATGTAGTGCAGAACTTTTTGAAAAAGTAGCTTCTATACCATGCCCAATGTGCAGGGCTTGGTTGATCCTGTAGTCTCCAGCTACCTTCGGCTACTTCTGCTACCCACTATCTACCTATAGTACTTATTGTATGTCGAGTACCAATCTCCCTATTAAAGATGCATAGACTCGGATTAGATACTTGTATAAGAAACCTCCTTTATACTTTTAGTGTTATCATTCCCGAGTATCTACTAGTTGTGTATGCATTTATTCAACTTTACTGCCCCCCTTGGCTGGTTCGAATCTGTATCGAATTTTAAACGAGAGATCTACAATCTTTCATTCGTCATCATATACATAAATAGCACCTCGCTTATCTAGATTCAACAAAAATACACTCCACGATCTCGTCAAAGGCTAAACTCTAATTCCACCAAAAACTCACACTGAAGCTGATGCTCAAACTGCGCACGTAATGCCACCACCCGATGGGAATCAGCAACGTGTCCCCCGGCTGCAATATATACTCCCAATAGGGCACATCCGCCAGCTCTTTTCTCGTTCTCTCCCAGTCTTCTCCATCATCATCATTAACGTCAACTTCATCCCACCCTTCCAAGACGCCAACATCTAGCTCACTCGTGTTGCTCATATCAACACCAAGCTCCAACCCCCTAGGCCGCAACCGCTCCGTCTCCTCAGGCGAATACAGCCTCACATATTTTGTGCCTACAACCTGACAGAGCAAATTATGATACCCATCGGTGTGAAGCGGAGTTATGGTCTTGGCAGGACCAAACCACGCATTCAGCTGGGGAACGTCCACGACCGCCTGGTTTTTCGACGATGTCGTAGGATGCGGCGGGACGTCCGCCCAGCAAAAGTCCGGCACCCGAATGTCGTTTCGGAGAGTGGGGATTTGACTGAAGAGCGTGTGCTGGGCGAGGTATCCTACCGTTTGTGGTCTCCGTTTGTCATCGCTTTGGGGTGGTTGAGCTATGTCTTCTTCACCAACATGTGGTAGGATGCTAGGGTCAATATATCTCGTCAGAAAGTCTTTAAAATGTATGAGTTCCTGTCTCCATCCTTCGTCGACATAACTTCGTCCTATCTCAACAGGGACAAGCCTCCTTCCACCGAATGTCTTGGATAGGAGATAGTCGGGGCTGTTCCACGGGGCATCCGAAAAGGCAGGCCAATCCTTTGTCAAGTCTGTGAAAACAATGGGCAGAGGTCTTCCTTGGCTCTCCTCGTTCATGTATTTTTCGAATCTCTCCAACGACCAATTCTCATACCGCGGGCAGGTTTTATCTGCTGAGAGATTGGGGCGGCCAAATGGCTCGCAATCAGAAAACGTTTTCTCTCTTTTAATGCGCTTACGAGGTCTTTGCTCGTCGGTAATTGCTGTCTTCACTTCCTCCCAAAAACGACTGAGCAGGTCCAACGTCCCCTCAATCCACTGTTTACCGAGAAATTTGCCTGCGCCGCCGGCTACGATGAGAGCTCTGTCCAAATCTTCGACCACGCGATCCATGACACGCTCGTCGAACGAGCCACCTCGAGCAGCCCGCAAAATAGCATAATACGACATGAGAATCAACGTGTCTGTGTAAATCCACCTCCAGTACTGAGGCAGCAGATCGAACCGATACGCATAAAATGTGGACATCGAAACCGAAGCAAGGTCGTCCAACCTCGTCTGCAGCAAGTCCTCATCCACTCCAGCATCAATCTCTTGTTCCAGGGCCTCGTGGAGCTTGGTGAGACCACGTGCTTGGCGCTGTAGCAATTGCTGCATCGCATGTCCTTTTAAATCTGCGCTATCTGAGAGTGAAGATTCCTGGTCTGCATCGCTGTGGGGTTTTCCTGGGTTGAGGGACGTATGCTGAGATGTAGCGATGGTATTTGCAGCATCGCGATATCGTGACAAAACTTGATCGCGCAGCGAAGACATGTTGGAGGAGGGCAATTCGTCTGCTAAATGTATGTTCTCATAGATAAAGGGAAAAATAAAGAGATTGCCGTTTCAAACAAGTAATTGGATGCATTCGCAGGCCGTACTGGTAACCTCAGCAAGAGGTGTAAAGGTGTAAGTGGGGAGAAGTGTAAGAAAGCTCTGGTGCCAAATCTGTAAGCCATCTTGCTGTCTACCCGGAGCAAGCATCGGCCATCTCAACATTGCCATAAATCCCCGCCGATTGATTTATTTGGTCTCTGGAGAAAACCGTAAGAATAGGATTTTTTTTAATCTTTTTTTTTTTTTTTTTTTTTTTTTTTTTTTGATTAATACTAGACTTTATTGTTTCGTTTCGTTTTGTTCATCCCCCCCCTGCCTTCCCCACCCCCTGTTATTTTTTTTTTTTTTTTTTTTTTTTTTTGATGCTAATNTTTTAGCTATTTTCAACAAAATTTCCTTGGTCTAATACCGCTGGGTCTCTCTGCTTGTGCATTCGCTCATTCACTCTCTATCACCAAGTAATTAAACGACGAGTAATTAGACACATCAGAAAGATGTATATATTTTCCACGCACAAGAACCCCACAACCCATTCCCATCATTTCGTAAACGTACAAGAAATCGAACACTCTCTTCTTTCGTTACATTCGCTTGAGCTGCGCCGACTTTAAAATAAACGCAATTCTAACAAGTCCAGACACCCACAATGCCGTTTCGTCTACCCTCTACCAGGTAGCCATCCTTCACACGAACACGTTCGACGATGGCGGCATTCTTGGAGGCAGCCTTGACGCCCTCGGAGGCGGCGACGCCCGCTCCGCAGTCCCATTGTCGACCCTCAACCTTATCGTACACCTTGACCACGTCTTCGGTGGCTGCACTCACAATCCGTCGGGCATCAAACATCATACTGGTAACGGGGTTGTCATAGGCGTAAGCGTCGTAGATGGATCCAGTTCGGAGATCCCATATCTGAAAAGCGGTTTGTTAGTTGGTGCTGTCTACAAACTCCAAAGCAATGATATCTGAGGAGAGGAAAGAATAAACTTACTCTGATACTGCGGTCCAAACTGCCGGTAACCAAGTGAACGTCGTCAAACTGCAGGCAAGTCACAGCGCCGGTGTGGCCGACCAAGCTGCGATGAACCTGGCCACTTCGGAGATCCCACAAGCGGACCATGCCATCTGCAGTACCGCAAGCCAGTGCGGACTCAAACACCTGCAGGGCACCGACAAAATCGGCAGAGGTTCCCTGAGCACGACCTGTCGGCCTCCAGGTGCTATCGCTAGTGGTCGCAATGGCCGATGCCTGGGCAGCCGCCCACATGACGTCGAGCGTCTGCACGCAACGGCCCTTTTCCAAGTCCCAGTGTCGGATCGTCTTGTCCGCTGAGCCAGAGACTAGGACATCTCCCCTGAAGTGGAGCGCGGTGATTTCGTCAACGTGAGATGATAGCGTGTAGAGAGCGCAGTCATCCATGCTTCCCTCCGGCGGTTCGATAGGCTGAGCATCGGGGTGTTCAAAGGCAATAGCATCTTCGTCGTCATCACCAACCTCCTTACCGCCCTGAGGGTTGTAGTGTGTTTTGCTAAGATCCCATAATCTGATAGTAGCGTCCATAGAGCCGGTAGCCAGAATGTTATCCTCGACCTGCAGGGCTCGCACGGAGGCCGTGTGGCCTTCCAGGTAGCCCATGCATCGTCCGGCATTCAGATCCCAGACTCTAACGGTGTCATCCAGTGCAGCAGTAACCAAAGTTCCAAAGGGGGCATCAAAGTCCATGGCAGTAATCGTATCGCGATGCGCCCGGATTTCACGGATGCTAGATCCTGGCGCAAAGTGCTCGTGAAGAATTGGCATGGATTTCCGGCGATGAACCTTTTTCGATTTCCGCGGCTTGCCATCGGGTCCGGGCAGCTTCTCATAGACAGATTTGGACATGAATTCAGGGTCGTGGTCGTCGGCGTCGCCCACAAGATCTCGCTCGTCCTTTGTGGCAGTATTCCGGGCAATCTCTTCGGCCTCATCGACAATGGCTTGGACTTCGTCTATCTTTGTTTCAAGATCCATGACTATATCAAGGTAACCCAAAAATGGAAAGTAATTAGAGGCGCACATTTATCATTGAGAGACAGAATACGTCTATCGCATGGGTTCAGAGACCTACCATCGTGTTCAAGGGAGGCCTCGTCCTGCTCGAAGCCCGCCAGTCTCTCCAAGACAATCCTACGCATGCCATAGAGATTGGCAATCTTGTTGTCTATCTCGCGGATCTCACAGCTAACCATGCTCTTGCGCACCCCCAACAGCTCCAGCTCATGCACCATGGTGGTCTTCTCCTTCTTCAACTGGGACAGCTTCGCCGGCGTGGCGGGAGTATTCTCTCCCTCCTCCAGCAGTTTCCTGCCCCTCGATGGGCGCCGACGGTGCTTCTTCCCGTCATCCGTCAATTCTGGGAAGCTAGCCTGAAAGCCTTGGAAGAGCGAGTAAGCGTTTTGGTGCTCGGGGATGTTGGAGAGCAGCTCGTCGGGGAGATGTGTTAGGGCGCGGTGCTGGATCTCTGCGGTCGACAGCTTGGACCGCACAATCTCGGTAGGGCTCGACCGGGCCATGGAGAAGACGCCGCGCTGCACGCTTGGGCGCTTCATCTGCTTGTGAACTTCGGCCATGGCGGCGCGATAATGGGCTCCCGAAGCCTCGGCGGCCGGCCCCATCAATTGGCTCGCCGTGACAGTAACCTTGCGACTGAATGCCTCAAGCCCTCGAGTCTGCAGTGGGAGGGAAGAATCTTGTTAGCTCAATGCGCCCAATGGACAATTGCAAGCGACAGCTCAATGGCCGCGGGATTGCGGCTCAGTAGAAATTTTTCTCTTCTCTCTCCGCTGGCGACATACCGAGATGATGGACTGCTCGTCATCGGGGCCATCGTCGAAGGCGTAATGGCTCTCCGAGTCGGCCATTACTCAACGGCTCGGCCGACGCTGGACGAGGCTCAGGGTGAGGCGCGAGGTTGAAGTGAGTCTTCCGTCAGGTGTCGCTCAAGGAGAGAAAGAATCACGATTGTGCATCGCAAAAAATGGACATGGCCTTGCGGGTGTGAAATTTGGGACTGGGTACGGCAAATGGATGACGCGCGAAGAAAATGCAGGATAGCCCGGGCCCCGGCTATTACAAGTATGTACCTGCTGCCTTGCCGCATAAATACAGGCGGTGCTAGCCGCTCTCTACGGTGCTCCAGCGGTCTTTGGTCCAATGCCAGCAGGTTCAATGTTTCGTACCGCCATCCATGCACCCCTCTAGCTCTGCCCAGCTTCCCGCTGCCCTTGTTCCTTTAGCATCCATTACTTGCATTATCTCTACTTGTTTCGTTGGCAGTAGTACATATATGAACCTGATCTCGAGGTACAGTTACGCTACAAGCCAGCTGCATCACTACTTGTCTTGACTACCCAAGCTTGCCAAGGTAGGCACTGGGTAGCACAGCGCGCGCATGATACTTGGTAGAATTGCAGGCCGTTGGCGGTGTTTCGGCATTGTCTCTGCTAGTGCGCTGCTGCATTTCTCGCTCGCCTGTGCGGTTCGTTGGACGCCCCACTGGGGGCTTTTCCGGGGGCGCAAGGGCTCGACGGCGGTTGATACAGGACCCTGGCAAGGCCTAACAAACCCGATCTCCAGGGGACCCTAGGCCTAGATGCCCCAGCAGACAAGCAGAATTGATCGCATGTTATGTACACTTTAGCGATGTGATGCCGGCTAATATCTGCCAATAACACGCCGTGCCTCGTCAAACAACGTTTGAAAATGCGATGGCCTTCGTCTTACACATTCGCAGAAGCAAGTCATCTTGCAATTTCCACCTGCGCTGTCACAGCTTAGGCGGCTCAAACTTAATTTAGTACTTGTTACGGCTGCTGCTGCTGCTATGTACTACCGCCGCTACTAAATCACAAGCTGCTGCTGAAGATGGAGGGGCTCTTGGCTTTGAGCTCTGGGAGTCCCGTCAGACGCCGGTCTCGGGAGCGGCTTGACCTCAGTCTCAGCGTCCCCCACTACAGTCATATTGCAGATCCGACGCTGCGCTGCACGTCAGCTTACCACTGGATCCTTTACGAATGCCTGTATAAGGAGTATTTAAGCCTTCATTGAGCCTTTGGCTGCGCTCAATTCAACGAGATCAATCTTGTCGCCTTCTTTATTTCCTAGAATACCTCTCTCCAAGCCCTGCCGCCAAAGATGGATTCTGCCGTGGACATGGCTGACAGCTCGCGGGCGCTGGATCTTTCGCGCATCCGCTTCCAGCTCATGTCAGTATTTCTGCTGGCTGTTGCGAGCTCTCCCCTGACCGTCTTTTCATCTCTGACACGTTGAATAGCCGTCTCGAAGACACAATCACTTTCCATCTCATCGAAAGAGTCCAGTTTCCTCTAAATAAGGTGATACGCGGAAGCCAACCTTGGGCAAACAGACTTGCACTATAAGAAGCATGCGCATTGCTAACCAAGCTCTCTCTAGACCATCTACACACCAGGAGCCCTGCCCATCCCCGATAGCAGTCTGAGCTTCTTTGACTATTACTTCTCGCAGCAAGAGAAGCTTCAGTCTCTGATCCGCCGTTTTGAATCTCCCGACGAATATGCCTTCTTCCCAGAGGCAATCCAGAAGCCTCTGTTAAAGCCTCTCAACTACCCCAAGATCTTACATAAGAACGACGTTTGCGTCAACGACAAGATCAAGAAGTTCTACATTGAAAAGTTTTTGCCCGTCGTGTGCCCCAACTTTGGCCGCGAGGATCGAGGAGAGTCACAGGAAAACTACGGCTCGACATCGACTTGCGACATTGCTTGTCTGCAGGCACTATCTCGGAGAATCCACTTTGGCAAATTTGTCGCCGAGTCTAAATTCCAGTCGGATCCTGAGCTCTACACGCAGCTAATCAAAGCTGAGGATCGAGAGGCCATTGGCGAGTCCATTACAAACAGAGCCGTCGAGCAGCAGGTTCTCGATCGCTTGCGCCTCAAGGCGGAGACGTACGGCAAAGACCCGTCAACGCTGGGAGGCATAGAGCAGCCTGTCAAGATCAATGTGGATGCGGTAGTGTCCATGTACAAGGACTTTGTCATTCCATTGACCAAGGAGGTGGAAGTTGAGTACTTAATGCAGAGGCTTCTACCAGAAGAGTAGATAGAAGCAAATCATTATTATTCTGGTTGTTGTTGTTTTACTGCGGCGCAGCTATATAGTCACTAACGGCCTTGACGGCCTCCTTGAATTTACCCGCCTCAATGAGGATCATGTGCCCAAATGTCTTGATACCCAGCTCTTGAAACGCTCGCTTGCTATCTGCCACCGCGTCGTCTTCTTTTGTATATCGGAAACTGCCGTGCGCTACTGCGTATTTCTGTAGAATCTCATCTTCGGGATGGAAGTGGTAGGTTGAAGCCTCCTCCTTGGCCTTTTTGCGCTTTCGGTCTTCCACATCAAGGGTTGATTCAACCTCCTGATACGTCCTGGAGAATACCAGGTAGTAAGAGAAGTCGTACGGCTCCTTATCTTCCAATGCGTCTTCCACCTCTTCAACCAGCATCGTGTACAGTGGAGGCGCAATTTCGGACGGCATGTTGATGAGTCGTTCTGAGAAGACGAGACCAACGGGCTTTTGTGCGTTGATGAGCTCTGCGACGGCAGATATTGATGGGTTGGTCTGTGCCTTTTCCGCGAGATACTTGAGAATATCCTTCATGGGCTCCTTGTTGCGATGCTCATATGTGTTGAGGACCGTCAGCATGGCGTAGGCATCGTTGGCCTTGCCGTCGACCTTGACTGTTGAACCGATCGTCGGTTGTGATAGGATAAGGTCTGAAAGCGCAGACATGTTGAAGAGGTTGGCATCGACATCGAAAAGCTGCCGAAGAAGCGACTTTGTGCCATGGAAATCTATCTCGGGATCGAAATTGAACCACTCAAAATCAACATTGACCATGTCAAAGTCCTAACGAGCGTCAGTGATGCTACTGTAGAGCTGAAGCTTGCTCTCATCTCATCTCTCACCTCGTCATCGCTGCTGTCCTCATCCATGCGATCAGCGCCACCCTCCGCTGGGGGCACGTCCTTGGCCTCTTCTCTTGATCGCTTTTTGCCCATTGTGAATTTCCTTTTTGTTTTGCGACTACAAATTGGTATGCGCTCCGCAGTGACGATGCAATCTTTTTGGCTCGACGCAAAGCGCAGTGGATTAGAGCTGCGATAACCAATTTTTTGCTTCCAAAGAACCCCGCGCTATGCCGCATGTAGCCATGATAAGAGCTCTCGTGCGTCTAATTAGACGCGATAAGCTGCGCTTAGTTGGCCAATGATGGCCCACTCCCCAGACTCACCTTTCGTGCCCACTTTCGGTGTCGTCGCCAGCCTGCCCAGTTACGTAGCCGAACCGAATCAGCTGCCTTGGAGACGCAATCAGCTTTGCGCGTCCATCTTCAGCGGTCTTGCAACCGGGCTTTACGGCATGAGCGACGCCCAATCGTGAGAGAATCGCCTATATCTAATACCCACCCCTCCAAGTCTCGCCGTTCTCCGCCGATATCTACTCCAATACCACCTCTATCCAGAGTGTGCCCGCTAGGAACGCCTCATCATGGACTATAGCGCCTCTATACACGAGACCGAAGACCCGGCAGCTTCTCCATGGGGCAATACGCCAGGCTCTTCTCCTCAGCATGACCGCACGACCTTTGGAAGCATCACGGGAGATGCCCCTGTGCCCGCATTCCCGTACGCCCCGCAATCGTCCAACGGCTTGGGCCATGGTGGAGAGGACTCTTTCCCAGTGTCTGGTGTAGCCACGCCTGCACCAGGAGAGCAAGACGAGGCGACATTGGCTGCGCACCCGGGGTCTGGAGAGATTCCTCAGTCTACTGGTTTTGAAGGACCCCTCCAGCCAGCTGCTGCGACAGATGCCCAGCCGGAAGAGCCTCGAAAGCCCCCGCAGCCCCAATTCCGACTGCAGGCGAAGATCACAGGATTGGAGCGAACAGGAAAGAAGGATCCCATTCTGCGATTCGACGTACATGTAAGTTGTCCTTGCTCTCCACTGCACTGGTAGAACATCTATGAGAATCTAACCGGCCTGCTTCTTCCAGACAAACTTGCCCCGATTCCGCACCACCCAATACCGAGATGTCCGACGATTGCATTCCGAATTTGTCAAGCTTGGCGAGCACCTAATATCTGCCAATCCCGAGGCTTTTGTGCCCGCGGTTCCTCCTCCCATCACATCAGCCGGCGCTGGCACAGAGGAGGATGAATCCCGAGTCAAGGCTCTGATGCAAAGATGGTTCAACTACGTGTGCGGGAACGAGGTATTAATGAGGGACGACGAGATGGTGCTTTTCGTTGAAAGCGATTTCGGCTACAGCCCGTTGGTGAAGAGAAAGCAGCCCGCAACTGGCGTTCGCAGGAAAATCCTCAAGCAGTTTGCCCCACCTCCCGATGATACCCCTGAGCTCGCAGAGGCTCGTCCAGTCGTTAAACTGTTCTATCTCGGTACGATGGATGCAGGCCACAAGGTCGACAAGCTTGTCAAGGCTAGAAGAGGTAAAGAATCATGATGCCCGCCAAGCAATTAGCCCTCCTCGTCTTACTAACGGTACATGACTTACAGGTCTTGGCCTTGCCGAGTCTGACTATGGTGTGAAGCTCGGCGCCATGCACGTCCAGGAACCGCACCCAGGTCTGGCAAACGCCTACAAGAAGCTTGGCAGAGTGATTCAGACTGTCGGCGACTATCACGCCGCTCAAGCCACAGCCGAGGCAGCTACTATTGGAGACCCATTCCAATATCATTCTCAGGATGCCTTCATCGTCAAGGAGACTCTCACGAACCGACAGATCCTCATCCGTGAATTCTTGCAAGCCCAGGAAGTCACACGAAGCAAGCTAAACGCCGCCGATCGTCTCAAAGCCAGCTCCAGCGTCAGACGCGAAAAGGTCGACGAGGCAATCGCAGCCCTCGACGAGGCCCGAACAAACGAAACCCATCTCTTCAACAAGACAAGCCGAGTCACCCAGACCCTCGTCCAGGAGCGCCGCAGATGGTTCGACAGGACGGCTAGCGATCTGCGCATGGAAATCCGGGAACTCGTCCTCCGAGAGATCGAAGCCGAGCGTCGTACCCTGGCCCTCCTCGAGAGCGTCCGAGCAGACGTCCGGTCGATCGACTCCTCCGGCGGCCTCAGCCGTCTGGGCCGTGAATCCCACCCCACCACGCGACGAACCAGCCTCGCTGCCAGCCAGGGTCCTAAGGGCGATGCTTGGAGCGGCGTTCCTCGTCGATCCGACGCCACCAGCCGCACCACTTCGGGTGTCGGCAAGGTGGCCGAGGAGGCTGAAGGAGAAGACAGCCAGGAGTCTGGATCAGGCAAGCTTGGTCCCGGTCTCGGCAATTTGGTTGGTTTGGAAGAGGATGACGAGGACCGAATTGACGCGCGGAATGCGGCGAGCCGGCTGGCAACGAGCACTTTTTAAGGAGTGGGAGATGAGAGGGATAATTACGATGGATGATTGCGCTTTTCTAAACTCTACTTGCTATTTGGTGCCAAAAGTGCGGCCGCTGTCTTTAAAAATACTATTTTTTTTTTTTTCCCCCTTTCAGATGAGCACATTTTTATATCAATTTATTGAAGGGCCAAAGTCAACGAATAAGATGGAATATGGACATAGAAATGATTACCCATATGTGTGATTTTTTGCAGGATGTTTGTACCTATAGTACCGATTGTCCAGCACCTAACGCCAATCCTCATCATATCATTATCTATCAATCGTTCCCTTGTGTTGGAACAAAAAACGCCTCGTAGTGATGCCTTTAAAACAGAATAAGGAAAAATAAAAACAATGAAAGTTATACGGCGCCATGGGGGGTATCTCCATCATCAAACGAGCAGATCGCCTGTGCCTGGAACGTTAAATGGGGTCGTAGAGGGATAGTCTGTTGCCCCGCGCCTACCCGCCGCATTCTTGCCTGCCTCGATAGCATGGAATTTCTTGCCAACGTCTCGTGCTTGGTTAACACCCTGCATGATGGAATTTAGTAGACCGACAAGGTGGACATTGTTTGTCTCGCTCTGAACTTCCTTTTCGAAAGCTTCCTTGTCTGATGGGATGACGAGATCGAGCCTACTAATGAGAGCTTGAATTTGCCGGAGGACGTTTAACGATGGAGTAGTATTGGCAGAGTCCGTATCCATGCTCTCTTCTTGGGAAACTCCGCTGGTGAAGGAAGGTGGCAGACGCTCCAGATACGTAGTGATGAGCCGAATTCTAGAGTGAAGCATCTTGATGGCGTTTGCCTTGGCCGTCAACGAGGCAAGCATCTCATCCTCCTCTCGCGTGAGAACTGCTGCGTCATCCAGAAGCTCGTCTTTCTTATCGTCAACCTCGCTCTCTACCAACCTTCGCTTTCCCTTGCCGTTTGATTCTATCGAGCGAGCAGGTCGTTCGTCCTTGGCAGTTGGTGCAGGGGCACTAACAGCGGCATTTGCGCCTCCACTGGCAACATAGTTCATGCTAATCATCTCTGTCTCATCGGTCTCGACGGAATATGGCACCTCTCGGAACTTCAGCTTGAGCATAGAATCTCCGTCCTCCATTTTTTTGTCCTCTCCATCGTTCTCAGCCTTGGTATCGTCGACTTCGTAGTTGCTCTCGTAGATCGTCAGCGGCAGTTTACCGCCGACTGAATGCTCCATAACCTCTTGGGGATGGAAGCCCAGCAAAATGGCAGATTCGTTCCAGCCCTCAAGGATCTGGCTATGGATGGGCAAGATGGTGGATGAGGGACCTGAGGGCGGCAGCAATGTGTACCAGCCGACAAAGTCTAGCTTTCTATCTTTATGGACAAGGCACACTGGAAGCAAATGCAGTGGTTAGCAAGGCATTGAGAAAATCTGAAGTTGTAGCTTGTTGGAGTCGACGTACTCTGCTCTAATCTTGAACTGAATCGTACAGGATCAATCAAGTAGCCTCCCGCCATCAGCGGTGCTTCCACGATGTGGCATTCAAAAGCGTGTTCGATGGTAATTTCTCGGCCATTTTGCTGGCCTAGTAGAGCTCCGATAATGGGGCCCTTTTGCTCTCGAAGGGTGTGTCGTGTGATGTAGTCGGAAATTGTGAGAAGCACTAGCGGATGCAATACGGCCTGGAGCTGCGAGCTCTTCTGCGTAGACAGCAGCGAGCCTTCACTAGACCGCAGAGGGTTCTTGAGCGACGTCAGAGGGCTCGCAGGGTTCTCAGTGCCGGAAGTATCCATGATGGCGAAGAGAAGCTGCCAGTAGCAGGTACCGCTATAGATTCGTCTTCGTGGGGTAGTCCTACAGATGAAGAGTGCTGTATGGGAGACGACGAAACAGCGTGTGGAGCTGGAGCTGGTTTAAGTTGGAGGTTGAATGAACGACTTGCCCCGCGTGCCGTGGGGTTGATGTTGCGGCAAATGCGCTGACTAAGCCCGCATACGTAGTGCGCATTGGGACCTACCCTCGACTCTGTTGTCTATCCTATCAGTTTAAGCCACAGACTAAAGATGGATGCTTTTAGGCATGTATTTGTTTAAGAAGAGGAAAATAAGCGAATGATTTCTTTTCATACAACGTATTAATAGCATTGGTTTACTTGTTGTTTTGTATTTTATTAAAATCTTTGTCAAAGGAAGTTGCTTTGTATCAAGTTCCTTCGCGGTCATCGTGATAACGCTTCAATCTTTCGTTATACGACTTCCATTTCACAATAACTCTCCTCTCACCAATTACACGGCAGGAGACATTCACATAAGACATTTGACTTCTTCAAGTGGTATAATTCTTCTTCGTCAAATGAAGCAGACATCTTTGAAAGTGAGGCAAAAAAAGCGGTATCATCTTTGTGATGTCTAGTACTATATAAATTCGTGAAAACCTCCTGTACGCCATAGCAATATTCGTAACCCGAGTACATGTATATTCGCCCTCCAGAAAAAAAAAATCATACCGTCTGCTGCATTTGGATAGGGCTGATTACCAAATATACAAGAATGGTATCTTAACCAAGGGGCGCAAAGAAGCATCCTCTAGATGGTTGGTAGAAACAAACAATAGATCTCTCTCACAAGAAATAATCCGCGACTGGCTTCTTGGCAGGCATCCCCCTGGAATCTTGGGGCGCAGCTTGGAACACCCGATATCGTCGAGCTGGGCCATTCTTAGGGCCACCCCTCGATTCAATAACGGCGCCAGAGCTGCGGCCAACATCTCCGTTTGTCCTCTGGAAAATGCCGGTGCCTGACTCATCTTCTGTAAGCTCCAGCACAGCTGCAACATTGCCGCATCGGTAGCAGTAGTTTGGAGCTGACCAGACGGTGACGATAGAGGCATCGAACATCTCCTTGAATCCCTCCATGACCAGCTGGTGCGCGCGAGCAATGAGACTCAGATCGTTTCGATGGTTGAAAACCTTGACAATATCGGCTCCGAATAGAAATCCAGCACCTCGGGGCGAGAGGCCCCAACCGTCGATTTCGTCTGGGTCGGACCATAAAAGGTCACACATTGCGCCTTCGTGGGGGACTTCTTGCTTCCGGTCAATAAGTCGTATTTTATCTACCGTATCGACCAACGGGCTCAATCCACCATGCACACAGAGAATGGCTCCTGTAGGATTGCCCACGCTGCCACTGCTGGATCCTGACGCTCCCGAACCAGGTGGACCAGTCTTGTCCGCTGTGCTTTTATTGGGAGCCTCGAGCTTCTCTTGAGAGGCCGATTGGTTGGCGCGCTGGCGAGGGAAGCGACTGATTATAGAGCCAGCTTGGTCGCACACTTCAATTTCGGTATCGTCGTCATCCGGCATACCAGGTGAGAGAGTGCTCGACGCACCCAGAACTATGGCACCAAGGGCGAGATAATCAAACACGTCGCAACAGTAACGCCATACATTTGCACTACCGTATTTGCGAAGGCATTCGTCGTAAAAGCCGTACACTGTCGTTATTTGGCGAGATTCGTGATTGCCGCGGATCAGTGTCATGCGGTCTGGGTATCGGACTTTGAGACAAAGCAAAAGAAGGAATGATTCGAGAGAGTAGAAGCCACGGTCGACAAAGTCACCTAACGGATATAACAAGTGTCAATTATTATGACAAGCGTTCAGCAAGGGATGAATGGAGGTGTTTATACCCATGAATAGATAATTCGTGTCGGGGACATCGCCGCCGACGCGGAACAGCTCCATTAGGTCATGAAACTGGCCGTGAATATCGCCACATATCTAAGCATTGCAGACAAGCTTTGGTTATCGTCCATCCTTGTTATATCGAAAGGTGTCGATGGAGAGGCTTACTGTTACCGGCGCCGTCACGGTGACGACGTTGCCCTCCTCGATAAGAAGCTCTCTGGCGCGGTGGCAGAGCTCCCGCACTTGGTCTTCCGGAATGGGGCGGCATGAGCGCAGTTGCGCGATCGCTCTACACACGGTCTTAGCGGACAAACAGCACTCCAAGGCAGGGTTGATACGAGACTGACTTGTCGAGATCGCTCATGATGGGAGCGGTAGAGAGTGAAAGACGGAGGGTCGACAGAGGTCGCACGAGAGGTGCGCCGGTCGGGCTGATGCGATAATAGAATCGGATAGAAAGACGGCTATAACATATCTCGAGGGTAAACCGCTGGAAACCAAGCAGTAGCCAATGCCGCTTGATATTGGAAATGTCAGAGTCGCGTGGGCAGATAAGAGAGGTTGAAGTTTAAAAATGGATCAGCGCTATCGCGTTCTGCGCCTCGGGATTAAAGTGGCATGCCCGCCCGCTATTACGCTAATACTGCGGAACTGCGCACGGCCACCCACCCACCTCGGTGAACGTCGCCGTCAAAGCACATATTCTTGGAAAATTAGCCACCGAGGTGTTCTACTTGCAAAATATATCAATAAAGATATTGATACGTCGTATCAATTTAAAATGAGCACCTATGTTGTTGCTAGAGAGTAATGCAGAAGGTTTATACAAGGGAGAAGCAAAAGTATACATTCATGCTTCCTTTTACTCTTATTTAAGCTATGCTTCCAAGCAGTTGATGGATTTATGCTTGTACCCAGTAATTTGGTAGGCAGGGTTACAGCTCCCAGCGGGCAATTTAGCGCTTCAGCACTTTACTAGAGCAGCCTGCAGGCGACCTCCCGAGTGCTTGGAACGCCCAGCAGGAATTACGTTGTGCCGTCCCCGAATGCGGCAACCTTCTAGCTACAAGCTAGCGCCCCAGCCAATCAGCGAGCTTGTTATCGAATCATCGGGAAATCGGTTCTGCACCACCGGGCGTCTTTTTTCTGCCCGCTCGAATTCCAGCAGCTATGGGTCCTGGGCTCCTCTGCTCCTAAGAAGACGCTCATCGCCAACCTCCAATTGGGCGTGAATCGTGGCCAGAAGGAACATGCCACGACCCCCTTGTGAGCCCCCAATGGCTGGCTGTCGCTGGCATCGAAGCAGCTCGACTAACACGTCAAAATTTGCAGCTCCAAACACCACAGTCACTCAATCCCGCTAACTCCCGGGGATTGCCCAGTCATGACACCACATCTTCACCCCAGGTCTCGCATGACCTCGTCCCTCTTCGCTACGACGCTTATTGCCAGCTTCTTCGTTGTTGCACTGCCGCATGTTCTGCCATGCCCGGTGCCGCGGACCAAGTACGCCGATGGGGAGATTATCGTCGATGAGAACGGCAGACGGAAGAGATGGAGGAGCAGGGACGCTATCGTTGCCAAGGACGGACTTGTGCAATTCAACCAGACGACGGACGACGACCTTGACCATGCGGAGGAGCGAGCAAAGAGAGAGTGCCCCGTGCCAAAGCCCGGAGGCATGCTGGGAGAATGGCTTGGATTCCACGCCAGCAATGACAAGGCGAGGGCAAGCAGATGACGATTGATACCACCAAAAAAAAAAAAAAAAAAAAAAAAAAAAGAATAATAAAAGGAAACAAACAGACAAACAAACCCAAAATCCCAAACTTCAGCGCGAGACCGTTTTGTGAATGGATAATGGATGCAAAGATCGGCAAATGTGTCTAATTCGCCAAGACTGACTCAACAAGGTCGCCCTCAGCCAGAGATGGCAGGCCAAGAGATGTGGTGTTTGTTTCATGCGTGACTTGAACGCAACTGTGATATACAACTAAACAGAGACATGCGATCCATCGACTTTTGCGTTTTAGAAATTGACCTTGTTACTATGTATAGCTCACAGGCTCACATAGGTTCCGTCCTCCGGGCGCATCCGCAAACAACCGAAACCCCCAAGAGGTAGTGATCACGCCAGAATCGGAGTCATCACATTAATATTGTTTGAGATAACTCTAACTAATCCTTAAAACCTTACCAATAAGTCTGTAAGTTAGGCGGGTGCGTCGTTTATGTTTCTGCATGGGTTTCTAAACTAGGTGCGAGAAACGCTCCGAGAAACTCCTAAACGGGCGACGCACTGGCGCGACTCCAACCGAGCGGTTCCTTGGCAGCAGCTGCACAGCCATCACAGCAATCACCTCCCTTACCGCCATCTAGACCTTGGGCCTTTGTGCGGCTTTGTTTGTTGCCGGGCGATCTGGTGTCTGAGAGTGGCCGGGGCTTGAAACCTGCCCCGCGGCCGTCTCAAACGTGGGAGACGGCAGAAGCGTTGATGGCTTGTTGCCCCATGCAGCGACACTTGCCGCATTTGGCAGCCTTCCTAGCAAAGCCCCTAGCCGTTTCTGCGACGCCTCAACTTCACCACCGCTCAGTCTTCCCAACCCGTACTATGCCCAATCCTGCGATGGCTCAGTTTGAGCTTTGCTGGCTTATACCGAGAGGGCATTGGATTTCGTGTCGCATCAGTTGCACTCGTCTTCTTAATCGCCTTTGTTAGGAGACGGTCCGTGTTTCGCATTGATTCCTCCAGACTTTCCGATTCACGAGGCTTGGCGTACTGCATCCAGCCCAGGAGTCTCTCTCCAGTCCTCTTTGGGGCATCATGGAGTATGCCATGACAGTACGGTGATCAGCCGAGATCAGAGGCGGCATTAGAGCCAGGAACCGCCCCACGGACCAGGGGTTCCATCCCCCAGGATGTAGCTTCTGGATATCACCACATCCGGTCTCAGGGAGGGCGCGCAAGCGATGGTATCTTCCTGCCTAGTTGCCAGGCTTCGGATGAAGTCGAGGCAGAACGAAGCTTGTCCAAAGCTTGGCCACGGAATCATCCGAGGTATCCTCTTCCACCTCGTGGGAAGAGGAGTATATTATGCCTCTCTGCCGCCTCTCTCAATTCTCGTTTCTTCTCCTTTTTTCCTCAGGGTCGCTGCGCTTCACTCATTAACATTCAATTCTTTTCTTTTTCCTCAACAAGAGCTGTGCTCTGTTGCTTCGATTCATTGAAACCTCTGCTTGATTAACCATTCCTTAACTTTCTTATCTACTTCTTCGCTTTTCTTCTTCTTCTTTCACTTATACACAGTCATTCAAAATGAAGCCTTCTTCAGTCCTTCTTCTCACTGCCGCTGGCCTGGCAACAGCTCTTCCGGCTCAGCCTGTCGTTGCTCGTTCGGAGATCCAGGCTGCTCCCGCTGCTCGATCTTTCCTTGAGCGCGCCGTTGATGTCATCTTCGCAAGAGACTTGGTTGCCCTGAATGCCAACACTGCATCTCCACCTGCTGATGATGCCGCTGCTGACAAGAAGAAGGGGGCGGCTGCTACTACTGCCGCTGCCGCTGCTACCACGAGTGCTGCCGCTGCCGCTCCTCCTGCTGCTACCACCGCTGCTGCGGCTGCTCCTCCTCCTCCTGCTGCTACCGATGCTGCTGCCGCTCCTCCTCCTCCTGCTGCTACCGATGCTGCTGCCGCTCCTCCTCCCCCTCCTGCTGGTAACGGCACTGCCTCAGCAGGTAACGATGGCAAGGGCAAAGGCAAGGACAAAGGCAAGGACAAGGGCAAGGGCAAGGACAAGGGCAAGGGCAAGGACAAGGGCGGCAACAACAATAACAACAACAACAAGAACGGCCTTGGTGATGCCATCAGCGGCGCTCTCTCCCAGCTCGGCTTGGATGGCGTCCTGAACGTTGGCTCGATCAACAAGCTCAATGGCGGTCAACAAATCCAGCTGCTCTCTCAAATCGTCGCCCTCCAGACACTGGCTGATTTGCAAATGGTCACCTCCAAGCAAGTCATCGTGGCGCTGAACCAGGGCTTCAAGAGCAACGGCCTCAACATTGTCATCAACGGGTAAACAAGAATGAAAGAGAATATATATATATGTGTGTTGGAGTGAAGGAAAAACGAAACGAAACGAATTGGGATATGAATAAGGGCGTTGAGATGGTTGATCTGGCGCTCCTCATATAAACGCGGAGGGAGTATGTAGATCGTGATAAATACCTCGGGAAAAAAAATCGAAAGAATTGCCTAATCAACAAGTGTCTTATACAATGTGAATGTACATGACTTTCTCTCTGTCTCGGTGATTGCTTAAAGGCAAAGCCTTATTTGTATATGAAAGATCTGGCTTAAAAGCACAAACAATCCATTCTAGAACACACAATCTTCGAAGTTGAGGTATGAACCAACAAAAGAAAAGGATCAGGGCCAACAAATGAATTAATACAAGGAGATAAATCAATATATGCAAATCACAGGGGCAAGGTCATTCGTGTCAAAAGAAGAAATGTCTTCAATCTCCATATTTCTCACTCCGACAGCCGCCATTTCATAAACTCCCACTATGCCATCCCAGCCAGCCATTCATCCATTCAAGCTCATGTCCGTTCAATATCCTTTCCCGCTCTCCGATAACACCAAAAGGGAAAGAGAAAAAAAAAATGCAATAAAATATAGTAAGATAAAGAAATTTTCACAGTATAAACAAAATTCACCTACATGTTCCTCCCTCCTGGCTAATTTTCGGCTGTTTGATCAGGTAGAGAGGAGGGAAAAAGGACCATAGTCGTTATTCATGTCGTGTTTTATAGACCGGACCGGTGGTAATTGAAACTCCCAAAATCAACCCACTACAGCCTTCATACTCAGACTCTCAAGAAAGCCCCCCAAGTCTTCCTTCTTGACTTCCACAACAGAGTGCTCAAAGCTGTCGATTCGCACACGCGCACTCGTCTCAGAGACGACCTCCTGGAAAGCGTTTCCAAACTTGTTCAGGCCGTAGCCCCGGTCATTCTCCGCATCCTCATCATCCGAGTCGTCTTCCGATTCCGAGGATTCTGACCCCTCGGACTCCGTCTCCAGCTCGTCGTCATCGTCACCGTTATCATCGTTGCCCTGATCGGCAGCCCTTCGGGCCGCGCGCTTTTCTTCTTTGATCTTTTCTTTCGCTTTTCGTGCCTCCTCTTTCTTTTTTGCCTTGGCGTCCTTGTTTGCCTGCCTCTCCTGCTTGGTTGCTCTATTCATAAACACGGTATCCGGACCACCACCGCCGCCTGTGCCAACGACAATGTAGACACCTCGCTTCTCGTTTAAGCTTGCCACCACCAAGGGTGTTCCACGACCTCCGTGAGATAGTTTTCCTTGTGATTCTTTTTCTTGTTCGGCCAACGCCTCTCCAATCCAGAGGGCGAGTTTTGTCAACGCCGCTGGGTGGGTAAAGAGAGCCACGTCCGGGCCATCCTTGACAACGCACATACGGAACGCCCGAAGATGCTTGATTTGCTTCTTGTTGATTAGAGATGTTCCTGTTCGGTAGATTGCACGGTGTAGGAATTGTGCGGTTGGTAATCCAGCTTTCAGCGCGTCAATACTACAAAATTTGTCAGTAAATATGTCTCCCCTTTCCACATTCGTTCATGAATTCAGCTCACTCTTCCAACGCGTCATAAGCTTCCCAGAAGCGGCTAATCCATTCCTCGCCCTGGGCAGCTAGTTCTGACTCGTCCTCCATCTCCCGAGTTACCTGGCTTGGCCCTGGATTTGTCGCTTCTAGAGCCTGGACATGTTTGCCTACTTCCAATAGCGCACCAATCACGACACCAACGTCCTGGGCACTGAGAGTTGCACGCCAGCCCCAACTTCGGACAAAACCCCACCCATCCTTGGCTCCCGCTCGATCTTTGCCGTCAGTGTCGACAGAAGGAACCATCTCGTCGAGGTTGTAAAGGGATCCGTATTTTAAAAGCTTCGCTCTGAGCTCGCGCTTCAGCACCATGTCCATGTGCGTGTAACTCTGCTTGCATTGCGCCAGGCTGACTCCCATTTTGGCGAGAAGCTTGTGGAGTCGTTTGATACCCGATTCGCTCCAAGTTTTCAGCCTAGAGAATAGATATGGCGAGTGTAGCATGCTATCGTAGAGGCTCCAATGTCGAATTAGGAGAAACTTTGGCTCGGGCGAGAGACGAATCCCCGTATCTTCAGGATTTCTCGCCGTAGTCGGTATAATGCCGTTGTTTTCAGGGACAACTTTCCCGTTTGCTACTTCTGGTGGGTTCAATCTCCTGACTTCATCTCGCAAGAGTTGCCGTAGACGAGCACCTCGGACACCAAACCACCCTGATGGCTTCCCAGAACCTCCAGACCGGATAGGTGCAGCAACGCCTGCTGACGACCTTCCATACAACTCCATAGATGTAACGCCCACTATTGCCAACCAAAGGAGGTCATTGTCATCGCGACCTAATTCGGAGGCTAAAGAGTACATCATCGATGAGATGGGCTCGGCAAAAGACGAACCCATCTTGTAGTATTGGTGTAGAACGGTCTCATTTTCACGTCGCATTCGTAGAAGGCGTTTTCTCAGTGTTCGAGCGGAAGCGGCCGGCAATGGCTGGGCACCTGACGGAGGTTCGATGGGATCGCTTGACAGTATGGAACCAGGATTTCGGATGGATAGCAAGCCCCTTGGCTCCGGTCGGGTAGGAGAACCGACTATCGAACTCGACTATGTGTATGTCTGGTTAGAAATGCGTCATGACGGATCAGCAGCGGCGCTTTGATGTTATACGTACGGAATTGCTTCTTCGCCGCTGGCGAGGCCGCGAATCCTCGTCGTCGCTGGAGTCATCTTCATTTAGGCTCTTCCTCTTTTGCCCCGTTTGAGCAGACTCGTGGCCAGAATCACCGTCATCCTCCTCATCGTCATCCTCGCTGGAGTTATCGTCGTCATCGTTGTCCTGTCCCTCAATGTCTGGCATATCTAGGAGCGCAAGATATGCATCGCGTTCCGTCATGAGGTCGCCTTCGATGTCGCCATCATCAAACACCACGATTCCGCCCCGGCCCGAGTTGTATGCCCGATCGATCGCTCCTCCTGAGACTCCAATTGGACTCCTCGACTTGTATGAGCTTGATACTTGGTTGACAGGCTCGAGTGGGAAGCCGCCAAAAACGTTGGCCAGATTCCAAGGTCGATGAGCATCGAGAACCCAGACCTCGACGCCGCTGTAGGGAGATTCTTCGCCTTCAGGTTCCAGGCCTAGCAGCGGTCCAAGGTCAACCATGCCTCCAACGCCCAAGCAAACGACAACCCCCCCACTACCACCTTGTGACTCCATCATCGGGACAACAAGTTCCCTGCCAGCCTTTTCCAGGTCATTGTATCCCGCGACAGGCTGGATCTTGTGTGGAATATAGTCATGTTTGAGAAGACGGGTGAGTATTCGGCATGCGCAAAGAGCGTCCGGCTCAAGGGCGACGAGAATCAATACTGGTGGAGAGAGAGGATGGCGAGTGTTTTGCAGATGCGAGTAGAGCTTCGATATCAGGGAGCGCGGGAGATACATGGCTTGGACAGGCGAATCTGTATTTCTGTATCAAAAACCAATGGAAGCTCCAATCCGTCAAAGATGATGGACCAGAGGCTGGGAAAACAAATCCTGGTTTTCTTTGTTTGTTGAATAGGAGACAATTGCCCTGTTAACGCGACCAGATCCTGGCCTGGCCGTGACAGAAAAGGGAACTGGCGTCAGACACGGGCCGTCAAAGCGTATGCATAGCACATGTAATCTGGGAGGGCTGATTCAAGTGGAGCGTCCGTAAAAGTAGAAACGAAGAATGAAGGAAGGTTCTAAAAAAGTAGATGCAGCATATCAATGCGAAAATACACACACAAAAAAAAGGGAATATAAAGAAACAAAGGACTAAAAGCAGATAAAATGCTGAAGCTGATGCTAATGCCGTGCTGCTGTAAGGCTAAGGCGACACACTCTATTTTTTTTTCCCTTCTTTTGTTTGCTTGCAGGATCTTGAAGCCCACGATGGCATGTTTTTGCGCTAGAAAACGCGTTTGGCCATTAAAGAAGCGCCGCTGAATGACGCGCACCGCGACGAGCTTTAGCGGGAAGGATCAATGGAGGGGTCCTCGAAGAAAGTGGGGCACGAATGCGGAACGGCGCCGCGAAACTGACAAAAGAAAATCCGATCCATAAAAGAAGTTTGTGGCGATGGTGGAGGTTCTGAACTGGCCGCGAATAGAAAGTATGTAATATGTTGTGCATATAGACCCTCTCCGACTTTCCGTATCCACGTTGATACAGCTACCTTTTTTTTTTTTTTTTTTTTTTTTTTTTGGCTCTATCCATTTTTTTGGTCACTGATTCCAGGCCTATTAAGAGGGGAAAAGAAAAAATCCGCTGCCATTTCTCATTACTAAACCCCCCTGTTACAACTGCTGATGTGACGCATAAAAAAGCGCTCTCCGATCTGCACAAGAAAAAAAAAAAAAGAAAAACTTGACATTAATTAGCAGCTGCGAAGCAATGCAAATTGCCAAGAAAAGAAAAAAAGGTAATAAATAATATATACGTTGCCCGCCTCGGGCCCGGCCAAAAAGGGACGGCCATATCCGTCCCGTAGCTCGTTAAATTTCAAACGCCTTTTTGCCCAGAATCTCACCTCACGACGTAAATCATATCATCCCCTTCTCATCTCCTCCAAGACTGGGTACCGACAGATGCAAGCAATATTCCTGGTAATTGGGAAGCAATAGTAGATGTATCTCGGCCCGCTCGGCTGTCAAATAGATTAATACAGTCAGCATAACATAGTCAACAGTCTAATGATGGGTTCATCTATTGGTCCGTGATATGGCACATGTTGAAAGGGGAAAAATATACGACAACCCAGGCTGCAACTAAGGCCATTTTACCCACACCCTCTTCGGCGGGCTTGACTGCGTCGCACAAGTGGATACGAGAGTATTCGGCGGGTAATCCGAATGCAAGGTGGTAGTACTGGTAGCATGAAAGAATACATGTAGACAGTACATACTGGAGGCAGGAAGCTTGATTTAAGATTACAGCAAAACAAGAGTCCAAAGATGGAGAACAGGGCTAGCTCCTTTATGACTACCTACTACGGGAAGATGGAGAAGGGAGATATTTCGCAGGCACCTCGGAGTAGTCAGAGGCAGCACTGGTGTCTCGTAGTCAGACACCGAACAAGCTCATAGGACCACGTTGATTTGTTATCACGACTCGTGACCATCTCTCGGTGGAATTCATATATCATCCGGCTTCTCGAGAGAGGGGGAGGCGAGGGCCGGCCTCCTCTTCATCTAGACGGTTCTGCCTTGTACCATATCCTCTGAAGAGAGCATCTGCTAGTAGCACTATATTGCGGCCCTCGGCCTCTCAGTATCTTTTGTCATACACAACAATGATTTGCGGAGTACGGCTACAATACTAGTCGGAAATGTTAGTCCGCTAAAACAAGCGGCTGAACTAATTACTATAAAGATAATAGACAATACAAACCTCTACCAGCCGTGTGGTAACCAGCAGCACCAGAGACCCCCGCCCTTTTTTCAGGAAGGGTGTGGATGGCTCCATTCAATGGTGCGATGTTGGTGTTGATGTTCGTATGCACCTCATGCACGCCTATCCGTTTGGGACTTCTGTGCGAAAGACGGCAAAGAACGTCTGCAGCATAGCGTGGGCCGGACAGGTTGCTGACACCGAGGACAGGCAGCCGGGTCCACGAGTGGTTGATTTCTACATGTGAAAGGCAACTCCTGTCCGCTACTGCATGTAGGAGCGCAAATTAGGACGACGAAAGAGGCGTCCGGCGCCAGCCACGCTGCACATCTGCCGGGATAGACTGGTCCGGCTGGCTGGCTGATCCTGTTTTGCTCAATGGCTCAATGCCTACATAGCTAGTGGTACACACGTATGTAGCAGGTTGGTTTCTACCCCGCCGCCAGCTTCGAGGTGTTGGGACTGGGATTGGGCCGGCTGCCGGCTGTAGCAGATCGGCCTGAGATGGAAGCAGAAGGGTGGAGCCCGCGAGCTGCTCTTGTTAGCCGCTTGCTGGAGGGGTTTGGCAGCGCCAAGTACAGGTACGAATGCGCCGCCGCACTGGTCCTCTCCTTACAGCGACATGTGTGCTCTCCACCGACGCCCGGTGTGCGGCTTCTAGAGCGCTGTTGCGGGCCCGCAGCACTCCCTTGCCCGCTGTCCCGCCTGCCTGGTCGCCTGCCACAGCGCCGGTACCAGTACGCCGTGCCTGCTGCAGTCGCATCGGGATGCCCTGTAGAGGTACACCCGACATTGCCCAAGGCTCGCGTAGCTTTGCGGAACTGCCGAGTGCATCCAGGATGCCTCGCTTGGGCGATGGATGTTGGCTCGCCTTTGTCTCTTTTTCCCATCCGACCCCTCGCGCACTCGCAGATGAGATGAGATGAGATGACACAAGACGAAAACATCGTTTTTTCTCCGAGCCGAGAAACCCCGCAAGGCTCTACCGGCAGGCCGGTACGCGTTGGCTTCTGTGCCCTTCAGCTGGGTCGCATCGCCCAGAGCATCCTTCGCTGAAACAGACCGTGCATTTTGCTGCAGCCGCATTCCTGGCGTAATCTGCGGGCATGAATTGCGCCGCAAATCGAGGAGTGTCCAGTTCCGGCATCTACTTGTACAATCGTGTCTGGGTGTCCAGAGTGGCGCCGCCACGTCCTTCCACTGCTCACCGCCCTTATTTCCCAGTTTCGCGCCGCCTCGACGCTCTCTGTGCGGCCGAGAAAGGGAACTGGTCGGAACATGCCAGGGCCTTGCGTAGCGCCTAGACGCCTGCTCGTGTCAAGCAGTGGACTGCTGCCACGCTGGTTTCCCGCCCCGGGGCCCTTTCTCCCACTCCCGAGACCGCAGGAGTGCCAGAGGATGACACACCGCACCAGACTGTCGGGTCCGGCTGTTGATTTTTTTTTTTTTTCTTATTTTTCTTTTTCAGAGAGGGGAGGAGGGGTGCGCACAGTTAAGCCAAGCGGCGTTGGGCCTGCGCTGCTGTTAATCTCTAAATGGAAGACAACCTCGCCGGCCCATGCAAGACAGCATAGTAGGTATTATCTGCACCGGAGCAGTTTTTCGCGAAATTGGGCTCTTTGCTTGTGGCCCTGGTGGCTGCACGGAAGTGAAGGTCCAAGTACTTGTAGGCATCGCACCGCCGCTAAGGCGTAGACCTGCTCAACAGGCCCCAGGGGAGCGTGACGATGGCTTTGGCTTGGCGACAAACTAGACGGCGCTACATGGTGTTGGCTTTGGCGCGCTCTCTCGCGGTTGTTCGTCGCCCGCGCCCTGCCTTTTCGGAATTGTATAATATCCGACGTGTATGTCTTGTTGTAGTAGTGGAATCTCTGGGCGCATGCGCACTAGGTTGGAAAAGCCATGCTCCATTCAAGCACTTGTGCGAGCATCATACCAAACAGCCACCAACTAATGCACTGTATTGGCGGACCTGAGACGTCGTTGGACGACCCACGCTGAGCTGCTAGGCGGAACGGTCCACTGCCTTAGCTGTGCGATGAGCTGTTGCGTCGCGCATGATGGAGTGCACACCATGGCACCGTTAGTGGCCCTGTAGCTGCTCTCTTGCACCTTGTCAACGCTCATCATGATGCCAACTGGCCGGTACAGCGTCGTTGCCTTTGGTATGTGGCGTTTGGTGTTTTGACGCATCCTTCATATGCCAGGCCCTTTCAGAAGAACAAGCCAACGTCGCAAAGGAGCTCGGTTAGGTGAATAGCAGCCACTCGCATCATTTACACCGCCGTAGCAGCCACGGCCCACGCAAAGGCGGTCGGCCGCTATGCCCTCCAACTTAGCTACAAGGCATGACCCAGCAAGTACCTACATCACAGCAGTACCACCAGGCCGGGGCTATACCACACCTCCAAAGGTGAGCCATAGTACACCAATACCCTTGGGATATTGGGCTAGAGCGCTCCTGCGCGGTCTAAATCAGGTGTTAGTTCTTGCCCTGACTGGTCTTGCCTGCCTGGGGTTCTATCAATCGAGACACGGCAAGAGCTCATCAGGAGACACTGGTTGGATGAGGTGCCGGTATTGGGGCTCGAGCGGCAGCGTACCTAGGCGTTAGAGTACCTCAAAGGTACAGCGCTGGCATATGCCTTCTCGGCGCACCGCATCGGGGAGTTTTTCGTTGGCCGTGAAACGACACAAGTCCACATCAGGTCCCGTCTGGACTTGACCACCCAATATACTACCTGGTAGTTTGGTCGGGCCAGGATGCCCGCCCCTCTTGCGGCGGCCATTCCCAGTACCTACCGGGTACAAGATGCCTTCATTACGTCTTCCAAAGTCTTCCAAAGTCATTTCCATGAATCGACTGGCAACTGGAACTCATCGCGCTGCCAATTAACTCCGTCGTTGCATACCACAGCCGCACAGCGATTGCCGGTTCTGGCATCTGTTCCTCCTTTGGCGGCTTGCTTTAGCCACGGATGCGCCACTAAGCTTGCACCTCCACGGACTGGATCAAACATGCGCTCCATGCCTGCTAGCAGCTATGCTCGGAACCCTGCGAGAGAGGCCCTCGACTCGCTGCTAGAGCCCTCGCCTTTTCCTCTTCGTCTCTGGCTGGCCTTTTTTTTTTTTTTTTTGTGCTCGCTCTGATTCCAGCTGCGCTCCCTCGCTTTCCCCATCCGCCAATTTGGGCTTTGGTCTCAAGTCCCGACATTACGGCGGCCCAGGAATACGGAACCTGCTAAGGAAAAACCAGCCACTGCTCTCCACCCCGCTATCAAGTCCCGGATCTCTGGCTACAGACGGCCAACGCACATATCAAAGCCGAAGCCTATTTGGCCCTGGAGCCACGCCCTCTTTTTCTCTTTTGGCGTGCGCCTCTGCTCCACGCCCCCAGGAGGGTCCTCTGTGCGCACATGCCTCAAGGTAGCAGTACCTACAGATTGCAGCAGGGGACCGTGCCTCTGCATGTACAGCTAAAACTGAGCAGACTC